ATTTTTAATCATCAGTAAATCGAATATTTCATATATACCGCACGCATAATTTACAAATTCTTATCGCATAAATTCCGAACATGAAAATTTAGGTTTATATTTGTAAAGCTTTGTTTTAGAACACTACAGTCTTTATAGCTTCTATCGAATTATTTATGTTAATTTGGTTTATGAATGCTTACAGCCGAAGCTTGTTATAATTAACTTATTTATAATGAATCCTGGACATAACAAACGTGAAATTTTAATTTATATTGGTTGAGTTCGAAAAGTATAGATTTTGTATATTTGATAATTTGATGTCATTTGTATAAAATACATTTTAATCTATTCGCGATTATTATTTAGTAACTAATTTGTCTTTAGAATATGTTTAATTATTTATTCTGGACTAATAGTAGCGGTTTTGTATCTTAAAAATAACAATTAAGAAAGCTTTCTTTTTACCATTTTAATGTGAAATTACGCGCCTGGGCGTTACTTTGAAGTACACAATTTCCAGAAAGCTAAGAGTTTAATTTTGACGATAAATTTTATTTTATTTTATTTTATTTTAAAAAAAATGGTAGAATTTAATTCTTAGCTCTCTGAAAATTGTGTGTCTTGAATTAATAACCCAAGCGTTACTTCGCGACATGGTGATACTCCAATAATACTAATAATAATAATGGGAGAATCGTAAGGTTGGAATATCATGTGACTACGCCCCAATTTTGGTAACGCTGGTGGTTTCGGAAAAAATTTTTCGTTATTCGAATTAATACATCTTTTATCTAGCCCCACAGATTTCTCGTACCGAATATAAAATTTAAAATTTGCAGTTCATTGTGCTCAGTGTTCACTATAAAAAACTTCGTTATAGAGAGTTTCGAATGTAAATAAATTTTATAAACGAAGTCTGTCTAATCAATCAAAAAAATTTTATTGACAATTTATTAACCATCTACACAGTTTATCTCAATTGGCAAGTTGATATATCTATGGTAGAAGTTTACTATAGTCATTTTTGTTTATAGTGTATAATAATCGTGCATTAACAATATAATCTTCAAGAAATAGATTAAATTTTTCCAAACGTTTAACTCTTTGTGGTAATGTGAGACTTTCTAAATCTTCAAGTCTTTTCTCATAATTTTCATTGCTAGATGATGAATCTAATACTAATGGTTGGATACCTTCCATAGTTTGCTTTTTAAGTACACAGCATTTGTGCATTAAACCCCATGGTTTGGCTGAACTTGTTCCTATAAATTTTAATCAAAATATGAGCTATAAAAATTACTAAGCTCAATAATATGAAAAAAAGTGATATTGTTTACCAAATAAAATTGCATAAAATCCAATACTAGCACTGTAAAGTCCGGCAATAACTCCCAATATAGCTGCAACCTATTTGAGAAAGGTTAACCATATGCATTTTAAAGGATTCGTATTGTTTCACCGAAAATTACTTCACCAATAATTAACAAGCTTATTTTGCCGACAATTAATTCACAGTTCATTTCATAGACAGCTTATTTCATTGACAAATTTCTTTTTTAAAAATTGTACTAACTCTACCTCTATTTCTGAACCTGACCTAGTGACAATGATCAGAATTACTTTATTGGTGAATTAATTGTTGGTAAAATAAGCTTGTCCGCAAGTTGTCAGTGAAGTGATTTTCAGTGAAATAAATGGAACTTGTTTTTAAGATTTTTATTTTTAAATATTGTTACTTACAGTATTGCTCCTATTATAATAAATTTGAAATGAATATTAACGAATTGCTTAATATTATGTAATTCAAATTGAATTCGTACATGCTTTCTGATTACCTTTGCTCTATTTGAGTTTCTATAGTATTAGTTTTTGGCTGTATCTGTACAACTGCATAGTTACTACGATTACGATTTCCAAGATCTATACTCGCAATATCTATGGTTATTAATGAAAAAACAAAAATGGATTTTTTTTAATAGTACAATAAAATCAGACTTAAAAAGGTCAAAATAGGTATACTATATAGTAAACTTACGCGTGTCAGTTTGAAGGTAAGTTACAGTACGATAATCTGATGGGAATCCAATATATGTCCAAAGCGTTTGAACCATTGATTTTTTGATTATTCTAGAGTATTGAATCTTGATATTTGATAATAGTTTTTTTTATTAGATAAATTTCAATTTGTAAGCTTAGAACCAAATTCGGAATGTCACACACCACAGAGAAAACGGGTGGTAGATAATAATGATTCATTTTGCGAATTGATTGAACAAATTCATCATCTTTATTTAAAAGAACACTTGACTGATCATATTCTATTCATATTTTATAACAATATCAAATGTTGATATATATGAATATTTACTAAGTACACATTAGTTATTAAAAACTTACCTGAATCAAATGCATACATCGATACAGGACGATCCGTTGAGGTATTGTATGTAGGATCTGTAATACTTATATAAAGTCGAAGGAAATATGCATTTGTTCTATTATAATTAGAACTTAGAATTATATTGCCTTTTGGTAAAAATTTTATAGAACGGTTATTACTGGGATCAAATCTGGGGTCAAAAGTTTCTGGTTTAATATATTCGTCACAACTGGTTTGGTTTCGACGTAAATAAAGTATGCAACTTATTGTGAAATTTTTATTATGGGCAAAATAAATATCTGTATTGATTTATGACTTTGATGTTAGAAAATATACTTCTTATAATTCTCTTATTGATACTAAACATAATAATTATCGTTATTTGTTTACCTGGTGCTGGTACACCACTATTATTTGGACTAAAAGTACTTTGGACATTAGGCACTTCATTGGCGACACCGATACTTAATATCACAAATACAATAAGTAATAATAACAATAGTATGAAAATGACAAGACGGCGAAACCATAAAATCAACGTTGACTCTGTTCTATGTGGTTTTACAAATAGATCATTTAACATGTTAGCAAAAGAAATGCAAAGTAGTCCTGTATAATAGTGTATGATTATGGATTCATGCGCATTAATATACATAATTCCGAATCACGCGCATTTTTATCAGGACCTCGGATAATTCTAAAAGGGGTGGTATTTACTAAAACTAGACTTTTTTGGTCAAAATTCTATTTTATTTGGCCCAAACTTTTCTAAATCCTGGCCAAAAATTAAATTTTAATTTTTATTTTGATCTGAATTTAGAAAAGTTTGGGCCAAAAAAAAATGCCGGTTTAATAATACTACCTTTTTTTAGTAAATAAATAGCACATAAAAATCCAAGTCTTGTTTTATAAAAAAGCTTACTGCTCGTCGTTTATTCCAAAATAATTTGAATAGATGTCATCGAACGTAAAACACGAACAAGATTGGAAATAATTCGGAGCTTAGAAGGGATAGCTGCCTAATTAGGAATGGGTCACTGCGCAGTGCGTTGTTTAAAATTCAGGCTAGTTAGAATAATTCAGGCCAGTCAGCTTGCATAATGCTGCAGGCTGTGCAGGTAGGGTTGAAAATTGTGAAGAAACCTGTATATCTCAAAATAGACTATTATCAATCTATTTTTAGATATTCGAGTATATTATGTATTACATTTAATAGTGGCACATGACTATTGAAAGTTTTGCCATTATTGTTATTTCAGATCTATTACGTATTGCATTATCGTTATATATTTTACTTTTATTTTTACTATCGCCTGTCACGAGTTCCTGTACATCTTCAGCGAACATGCTAAATAAGTAAGTACCGTCTTCTAACATTTGATTGGTCACATCCTAAAATGTGATCATACGTGATGATCAAATTGCGAAATGTGTCAGACCTTTATGATATCATTCTTGCATCATTTAGCCACCATCTACGTATCGTTCTTATCATTTTTGATTGGTTGTACATAAGATTGTGTTATTATGATGATATAGCATTTTGAAAATGTGAAAGCTAAAATATTATATGACCGATTACGATGTTTCCAGCGAAGTTTCTATTAAACAAATTTAGTTTCTATGGTTTTATTAACCATCCACTTTGATTCAATTTCTGATATCTATACGTAGATTTTGTCTGTGACCGTAATAATAAACAATTTAATTTTATTTCACCAAATTAGTCTGCAACTGTAATCTGATAATACAGTAATATGACAACTTTTGTTAAGTTATCTCAAGGTAAGTTCAGTAATGTACGTAATTTGGTGATTTCAATGACAGGTGGTTTATGATTCCATTATTAGATTGGTTCACAATTTCAGTAGCGCGTGTTTATAATTTATATTGGGTTGAAAGGTTAATGATTCAACAACAGGGTAAATAGTGACTTTAAGAATAGGTGGGTTAGTGACTTCAAAAGTCAGATTAATTTTTACCTTAACTAGAGGCAATAATGTGATCTAAACAGTAGGTGAATCCGTAATGTCAATAGTAAATGTGCTAAAATTTAACAATAGACGGATTTATGATTCCGACGATAGGTAGGTTCGTAATTTCAACAGCGGGCAAGTTTGTGCATTTTAATCAAATTTCGTAGGTTACGGACCATAAAACTGTTTTGGCTTAACTAAAGTATTTCGGCATTGATTTTGGTATGAAATTGCTAAGGTTCATTTGCTGAAATACTCTTGCCAAGTCGAAATAGTTCCCATGATATGTATACAGAAATTATAATACAAAAATTCCATCAATTTAGGTTATGCATGCATTTTAGATTTCGGTTTTTGCAGCATTAATTACAGCTTGCAACTTGTTTCTACGGCATGTATAATCCAAAGTTGCCCATCACTACTAAATCATTTATAGATAATTCTAGTAATAGGACTAGAGATGCTATTGAAATGGTCTTGTGTCATGACCTATTAAAAATTTTGATTCGCCTATACTGTGGGAAATTCGAAATTTTAATTTTAAAATTTATAATATTTTGCCCATAGCCTATTTATTTAAAAATAATAAATAACAAAAATATATGAAAGTAACAACAAAAATAATAAAAAATATAAAATTATTGATCAATTAATTCTCTATCAATCTGTTTTCCTATATAAGTTTCTTCTAAAAAGCCACGTAGATCATTCACAAAGTTATTAAAATCTTTTTTAAATTTATCAAAATATTTATCTTTTTCAGAACTCTTAATTTCAGATTCTATATGCGTCGGTTGAAATTTATCAATTTCAAGCTCCATATGCTCAGAATTCTTAACTTCAGACTCTATATGCGTCGATTGAATTTTATCTTTAGAATTTTTAACCTCAAACTTTATATGCTTCAGTTGAATAGTTTCTATTCTTGTTTTTTGATAATCTAATATACTAAATATATTTAACAATTTAAGATTATCTAATATTTCTATCTGAAGTTTTAGTTTATCTATTAAATATGCCTTTCTTAGATCGCAGCTAGTTTTTGACTCAATTTTGATTAATTCTTTCGAAAAATCTTTTAGTACATTAATAGCATTAAATGTTTTAAATATTTCTAATTCTTTTAATGCTTTAGCTATAATTTTTAATTCTAAACTAAATTCCTTAATAATTTTATCAAATTTTTCTACACAACTCTCATTAATATTATTTTTTAATTCTTTTTCTAATTTGTCTTTAATGTTTTTTAATTTTTCCAGAGTATCACTTGCATTTGGTGTATCAAATTTGTTTAATTCTTTAGCTAAAGTTTTGACCTGGCTTTCTAGTACTTTTTTTATATCAATAATTTCTTTTTTGCTTTCTGACTCAACATGATATGCAATAAATGTCAACCGATTTATCAGACCTTCTAAGCGTATATTATATTCGTCTCTTTTTTTTCTTTCTTGTATAATAAAATGATAATTCATATAATAAGAGATTATTGTTTTGATTTTTTTATCTTCATTATCGCCAAAATGTTCTACCAATCTGCTAATAGCTATACTGCAAATTGCAAATGTTACTTTTGTAGTTGTAGAGTTTGTGCTAAGTAAAAATCCTGAAATAATTGCTGGAGAAATAACTAGTATAAGAGCCATAATATAATGAATATAAACAATAATATCTCTTATCTTTTTTTTCTCAAAATACTTCACAATTTTCCTTATCATTTTGAATTTCCTTATCATTTCGAATATTGTAATATGCTTCTTACACCTACATATATCCAATATCCATAAAACCCGAACAAGATAATAAACTATGGCTAGAAAATTAAATGCAAAACATATAAATGTAAGCATTGATATCGAATCTATTGTCTTAAACGGTATGCATGTTTCATAACCAAAATTATCAACACAATATTTATTAACATCCACATTTGCAGCAGTGTAAAAACACCATCCCGCCCAGGATAGGAATATAATAAAAAAAATAAAGGAATAAATCAAAAGTTTTTTTATTAGAGGATTTATGATTTTTAAAATAATAAAATAAACAATTATTGAAAGAACAAAAATGAATAAAGAACCATAAATATGAATAATTTTGAATCTCATGCTTAAATATTCATACCATTCAATTAATTTAATTATAGGCCACAATAAAATTGATAATAATATAATAAAATCGTCAAATATATTTATAAGAGAAGCCCATTTTTTCTTTTCTTCTTCAAAACTTTCAAATAAACCAAATATAAATATTGGAAGCAACCCAATTAAAATTGTATTAACTGTATCATCAATAGGGTTATATTGACCAGATACCATGTTATTATAAATATAAATGAAATATTTTGCAAAATTGTTGTTAATCTAAAGAATTTAAACAGAAACTGTATGTTGTTACGGCCAGGGGAGAGACTTTATATCCACTGAGCCACTTTAGCTTAGGGTCGTAAGCGAGAAACCAAATATTTATTAAAACATACAAGGCACCAAAAAGTACTAATAATATATCCCAATAGTGCACCCGGTACACTATAGTCCTTCAAAATATCCTTGTTCCAACTTCAACCCAAAGAAGTACTTCCTGAAAACTATTTACAAGAATATTGCATTATATATATATTGAATTAGACTCTAAATAGGCTATACGTATACTATTTACATACATGTAGTATAACAATATAAAGTCTATAAACTTTGCATAAACTATTATAATGCTACACGGCAAAAGTATAATTGTCACACAAACAAAAGTTTAATTATTGTGGCAGATTAAAATGAAATCGAAATGAGAGATGGACAAGCCACTGAAAAATACAAATTTTTGAGGTGCGTTTTTTTAGCATTTTTTTAGGGTTAGGATTAGGGTTTAGAAGCAGATTTTATAATAAACAAGTATAAGTGGGTTTTAGGGGCTCAAATAGAAACCCCTCATTTCATTTTAATCCGGTTTTCATTATCTGCGACAATATATAAGAAACATATCAGGAATTTAGCATTCCGGTAGTCACCCGATATTCAAAGTTCGTACTTAAAATAGTTACTTCTATTCATATTGATTTAGTTTTAAGTATTCACTTATGATTTCTTATTCAAGTTGATTTAGGTTAAACGTAACAATTATTTAATTGACCTCCTCTGAAAGATTTATTAAAACAGTCTGCAACTAAGGGTGTTAGTGACCTTCATAAAGACGGATCAAGACAATCTGGGATTATATTGAAATATTTTGTATAAACAATTTAAAGAAAGGATTTTCTTGAGAAAAAAAATATATAAATAAGTACATGTGTAAACTTAACAATTTGAATTTGATCATAATTTTAGCGTTCATAATTCATCATGAGTTGGAAATATTTTATTTTTTCTTTTAATTTATTTTTTCTTCTTATGTATGTTGAAAAAACTCACGGATGTCATCCTAGTGGTCAAGGTTGTCGTGACTATTGTGCTGCTTCGATTACAAATGTAACATGGTATCCGGGGGTACTCGAAATCACGGTTATTACTTATTATACTAATCCTTATATCTGGATTGCACCACAAGCATTTGGCCATTTTACATTCCATAGTGATGATGGCCACTCTGCAAGAATTCTTAACGATCCTGAATTTGTTAATTGCCATCATTGTGACGATGTAACACCGTGTCAAGTTAATCCATTCAAATCCAACTGGACCTTCGATCCTAGCCAGACACCTAAAAAGGGTGTTTATTTTGATATTTGGCTTTCAGTATATTGGTTCTGTAATGCTCGTAATATCGGTGGTCATGGTCCTAGTGTACATTGTAGTTCGCAGGATGTACACCATCGAGACATAGTCATAGTCAATTAGTTTTTTTTTTTTTTTTTTTTATCCCTTAAACCGTTTCTCCTACAAATTTGCCCTGAAATTTTTTTGAAAATAAAATTTTTAAAATAAAATTCTAAA